ATTCCTGAATGACTATCTTAGTTCAGCAACATTTTAGTTCAGCATTTTCATAATCTTTGCAGACAGGTCAATATTTGTTTCCCACAAACCTTTTGCTAAATAACAACCTTTTAAATCTTGTGAACAAGACATGTCTTGTTCAGAGGGTAAGGAAGTGGAATCATTCACGTGGTAAGGGTGGGATCTGAGTTAAGAAATGAGTTGACATCAACAAATCTCTTAATATGTCTTCCTTTGCTTTTGAAGGTACTAATGTAGATTCTTAAAAACAGTAATATTTGAGCATCTCTCCCATATTGTGCTTCCTTCATGCTTGATTCTTAATCTTTGTACAAGGGAAGGATGTAAGGTTATGTCCTGTTCTGCTTTTATTTGCTGCCCAGTGTCAGCAATGTAAAAGAAAACTGAAGAAAAAGAGGTAGATAAAGAGGATGTATGATAGGGAGAAAGCTTTGGGGTTTTTATACTTTGACTTTCACTCTGTTTCGTAAACAGATATAAAGATATAATAAATCCACAGTTAGACGAGCAGTGACACAAAGGCTGTTTTTTAGTTATATATAAATATGGGGCTGCTATTACCTTACTGTCAAAATACACAGCCCAAGTATTTAAAAATGAGATATATAGAGAATTCATCACCTATATTTTCCATTTACATATTTTTGCATGTGTCTGATCATTAATAGCAGCCTGGATTTATGTGACTGAAGCAATGAACTGTGAACAGTAGTAAGATGCTACGGTTTGGCCACAAGAGCATGCATAGGATTATGCCCCAGTTTTAAAAGGTGATTACACTGCTTCTTACTACCACTTTCCAGAAGGTTACTACCCTATTCCTAACCTGTGGTTAGGGATTGTACTCATATGCTGCATCCATTTCTATGCAAAGTCCAGTTTATTGGTGTTTTAAGCAGAAACCACCAGGTATAGAGTAATCTTCAATAATTTAGCTGTGCAAAATCATGTCTGTCTATGTCTTCGGCCTCCAGTAATGACAGAAGCCCAATACCTCTCTAAATGTTACCTTTTTTCCCCGAAGTCCCTCAGTGATGAGAACATGAAAACTGTTTGCCTGAATCTGTCAGGGAATGCTGAACACTACTCACTGTTAAGTCTTCGACGAAGAAAAATGAATCAAGGACCTTCACTACAGGGGCACAGGTTTTGGGGGTGGGGTGTGGCAGATCATGCCCATGATCTCTTGAGCTATTCACAGAAAATATACAATGTGCTTTCTTTCTGTGCTCTAACAAAATAAGGTTTAGGCTATATTCCATCATTGGTGGTGATGCTTTTTGCCGGAAAATCAGTGAATATAACTTTTTGGTATATTTAAGTGCCCGTAATATATAAAGAGAAATCATGCCAGTTGAAGGAGATAACACATGAATTTCTTCAACATGTCTCTAAAAAAATCTCTACTTATTCTATTTGGAATTTCCACTTCAGCCAAAAAAAAATCCATTCCAATGTCGTCTGCATGTTTTGTGTGTAAACCTTCTGCCTGTAAAAATTCCTGTTCTTCTTTTAGCAGTTATTGATCATAAATATTTGTGATGAATTCATGAGGCTTGATCACCTGTCTGTAATGACAGTTTTGCTCTCTGAAATGCGCTTGCTGCAGCTGCATAATGAGAAGACCTGTGGTGATTCTTATGGGTAACTTTCATTTTGTTAAAAGTGGAAATATTTAAGTTTGAACTCTACTAAAATAAATAGTGGCTGCTATAGTATTCAGGAAGAGATGGACCAGGAAGAAAAGCACATGGAGCTGTTCTGTCTAGTTATGACTGAAACATTTGGTGCGTATTCGATCGGTTTGGCTAAGGTTTATAAGGTACAATTGTGCATAAACTTTTCTTAGAGGAAAGATAAGTTAGAGAGGCAAAGGCTTTCTATCCTACTTTATGTTTTGATTTGTATTCCTGTGTATTTTGTACTCGTCCATGTATCTTGAAAAATAGGTGTGCTAAGTAGGATGACTGAGTCATTTTCTATAGCAGAGGATGTAATATATTGTCTTTGAACACGATTACACTGTTCAATACCTTATGTCACAGATTTTCAGGCACTAAGGTCACATAAGGGTATTCAAAAGATAACAAAAACTGCACATGATGATTCTCCCCAGCCCCCACTGAGCAAACAGGAGAGTGTGATCTCTTCATGCTATGCCAAAGAAAAAAGACCAGATATGGCTGTGGATTTGCAGGTGCACAGAGAGAGATTGATTAAAAAATAAATGAAGAAATGCAGAAAAAAGGCTGGGTTATTCCAGAAATGTCACCTGCTTCGTGGAGGTGATCCTAAGCATCCATATCATGGGAAGAAGAAGCTGCAAAATTATGTGTTATCTTCAGTGAAGTATAGGGTCGTTACACCAGATGGAAACTCACTACAAAAGGTGTCTTCTCTGTGTGTATGCAGTTTGTAAAAGGTTGTATCTCACTAGAAAACTTATGGGGTCTACAAACAAAGTTTCTGATTTATACAGTTGTAAGATGTATGCATGTAGCATTGTATCACATTTCTCCTATCATACTGGAGATTATTTGAAATATTCCATCCCTAAATGCCTAGGATTTCTGTACTCATAGCTATATTGTGTGTGCTTCAAGTAAAGTAATTTCTCATCTTTTCTTTGAGGTAGAATGGCTGTGAATCGAGTCTTACAGTGTGAGATTGCTGTATGATGCTGGTTTCTTTGCCACAGTGATATATTGCTTCAGAGTGGAGTTTCTGGGACCAAGATGGAACAAAGAAAGTATAGCTTATCTTAAAAGCACAATGTCACTTTAAAGAGTTGTGAGAAACAAGATTGTTTATGTAAAATACTCCTGGGTATTAAATTCTCAGATGAAATAAAGTATTTTCTTGCAAAAAGGTCAAGAAATGGAAATTATAAGATTCAGTGCCTGTAATTCCATGCAAAAATGCTAATCTGTTTGAATTTGAGTGTTTTTCCAATATGTTTTGATTTGAATGCTGTCCTAGTTTGAATTGTGTAGTAGTCACTTTTTGATGATCCAGTTGTCTCTTTGAAAACCTGAAGATCAGAGAAAAACCATTTCCAGACTTGAATTGCAGACCTTTCAGTAGAACACAGTGCATTGACTATTCAGGCATTTACTACGTGGACTTGTAACATATATATATATATATGTATAGGCATGTATTATACTGTTATTTCCTCTGATGAGGTATGGATGAATATTTTAAATAATTGTGTAATATAGCATACTATCCAGTATCAGCATATTGCATTTACAGCATGAAGAGCTGTGACAACAGGTAGAGGCATCATTATATAGACTTTGAGTACCTGTGATTGTGTGGGGTTACCTAAGAGATGCAGAGCACCCATATTCCCCCAGAGCTCTGGCACACATTCTGCTTTAAGGTGAAAAAAATATGCTCTTCATTTGTGGATCAGTAAAGTCACCCTTGTGTGCTGAAGGCATATGATGCTTCTTATTTGTTCTGAAAAAAAATCCAGAAAATTTGATCTATGTTATCCATATGCACAAAACAATGGAAATAGTAGTATGAAAAAAATGAATAAATCTGTTCTCAGTAGAATTCAAGCTATGAAGATGGCTGTGCAGGAAAAAAATGGAAACCAATTTTATTAGTAGAATAAAGATTGTGATTTAGAGACATATGTTTATTTTTTTCAAAAGAACGTACAAATAAATTTTCTGGAACTCTCTGTGAGATAATTTTGACAAAAAATGGGTTTCTGACAACTTGTTACAGTCAGAATGAATGCCTTTTGAGTAACCTGTGATGCTGGTTGAGTTTCTAAATATTCGCGGCTCCTGATGCATGGGGCAATATGTCACTGAGAGCCACATGCATCTGACTGCTGCATCTACCTTAGTGCCAGCTTGCACAATCCCACACAGCCTGGTGTTTGGGTGAAGTTGCAACTTTCACACAAGCAGGTACCCGTGAATGTATATATACATATATAGGTGTGAAAGTATACATATGTGCATACACACACTACTACATCAGTGAAACTGGGCTTTTGAAGCTTGTTTTTGACAGCATACACATCAGTTCGAAGAACACCATCTTAGGCTCTGATGAGGTGTTGATACTAGTCTGGCATTATATTTTCCCTTTATTTATTGTGTATTAGAGATAACAAACACTGTCAAGCAACATTCATTTTAGGAAATTAGCAAAGCCGTGTTGCAGCCCACTGCTTGAGAAGCAGGTGTAATGAAAATCTCTGCTTTGTTTACTTCTGTCACTGTTCTTCTGCAGAATTTCCTTCTCTTGGTCTGTGTCACATGAATATTTTTTTTTTTTTAAACTTTGACACCTTCCCCTTGTGTGCTAGTTTTGTGGGGTGGTAATGGAATTGAGAGCCAAGAGAGACCGTGAGTGGCAAATAGGCTTCCTAATAAGGAAGGAATGGTTGGGTAGAGTTTGAAAAAAAAAGAAATTGTGAATGCATCTATAATTTTGTTTGAACTTCAGAACTAAACTCTTAATTGTGTTTTGCAGGATATGAATGATTATTCACCAGTATTTAGCAAAACGCTCTACAGGGGAATGGTTGCTCCTGATGCAGTCAAGGGCACCGTTATCACTACTGTTTCAGCTGAGGATCAAGATCCTCTGGTAAGCAAAAAGATTCTATTAATACTTGGCGCCCAAGAGCAAAAAATCTTTAACCCCTCATAAATGACCTAACTATCTCAACAACAAAGGTGATTATTATGAGTTTCACAGAGTAGTAACTTATATATTTTTTATGTCAGCCTGTGCTTTGTCATTCTGGATGGAGGCTTCATTTACAATGATTGTTCCTGAAGCTGGCAAATCAATGATACAGCTCTGTCATGAAGATTTTTGGAAAGCTCTTTATCCAGCTTCACAGTGTAGATGAAGAAGAGGAATAGGCAGGAAGGGAACACGTGTCTGTCTTTGGTACAGTTCTGCAGCTTAAAGAGGAGACAAATCACAACTTTGTAATATTGTTGCTTTCTTGGTTTTGCAGTCATTGTGCATTTCCAGTCTGAGACATCACAGGGTCATGTGGAACTCGGCTCACCAGCCAGCCCTGTTGGATGTGCAGCTTTTGAACCAAATGCACTTGTTTTGGGATAAAGTATACTTCTGCCACTGGCTTTTATTGCTGTTCCCTGGTGAAGCACTTGATTGACAGAACTGGGCACATATTTCTGACTTATTAGCTATTCTGAAGGGTGATATCAATTTTTGTAATCAGAGGTTGATGAACATTGATGTCCAGATGATACACTGAGGACAATAAAAGTCAAAGATGTTCTTCCAGCCAGGTTTAATTTTTAATTGTTGGTGTTTGGCATATTAGGGAGAATAATCCTCAGGGAGAAGAGTTCAGAGAGAATGTGCTACACACATTAAAAGGTGATGGCAGTGCTTTGACACAAATCGACTGTAGCTTTGCAAAATATGCTACATAGTAATTTATTTGTCACCCAAAGACAGAAATGCTAAAGCAGTATTTTTGTAAGGACAGTCCTGCTGTAAGAAAAAAAGTCCTAACACACAAAGGTAGGTAACTTCTCTGCAGGTGCACTGTATCAATGGGGTATTGCCGAACTTGTAGGCATTTTAGGTAGTTTAGAACAGCTGAAGGTCTAGACTGTTGTTTAAAGTATACAAATGACAGTAGTATCCTCAGGTAGGTAATGAATAGCAGTACTTGTTAATTAATAGTGCTACAGGGTATTTAAGGAATGCAGCAGCAGAGGACAGACATTTTTTGAGCAGTAAACAAAAGAAATGAACAGAAATATGCCTTAATGGCTAGTCTTGGATAATTTGAAGGGGAGTATTAAGAGATGTTGGTGCCTGATTTTGAGTGCTGTGCTTGCAGAATGGAGCCCGAGGTGTGTGTTAAGCTCCTTTCATAGAGCACAGGACCATTGGAGTAGGGTCCCAAGCAGCCAACACATTAATCGCAAATCTGCTTAATTAAAAGCAAAATAGTCAGCACGTGTATGTGTTAGACCGATCAGTAGTGGCAAATGGGAATTTCTAGGACAGATGCTTTTAAAAATGCATAGCCTAGGACTATTCTCTTTGTGGCAGGCACCTACGCTCTCCTTCAAAGACACCTCTGGGTGTACTCATATCTTTTTACATGCAGCAGGAGAAAGACAATGCAGTGGTAGTGCCTGCTCTACTCCCTTTGCATTTTATTATATTAATCTTGCTAGGAGAAGCCTTTCCTTGGGATGTTAGAGACCTAGGCTGCCTTCCCTCCACTGACTGAAGAATTCAAACCTTTAGCTCTCTTTCCGTGTAAAATATCTTAACTCCCAGGAGAAGAGGCTGGCCAGAGTTCCTGACAAACTTCCGCTGCGTCTGCAGGTGTGTGGAATTCTTCCAAGCCAGGAAGTTGCTATAAAGGTAACAAGCTGCAGCACCCATGAAGATCAGGGACATGCAAAGTTGACCAGACTTGTACCCATGTCACCTGGTCCTTTTCTGGACTTGAACTTTTACGCCTCAGCAAGGGGTATATATCTGTAGTAGCATTGCAGCAGTCTAAAATGCAGAACAGCCTTCTATAACCCTTCAGGGGTCTTAGTAAGTGTTCATGTTTTTGTGGAGTACCTTTACATTTACTCCCACTGCGTTTTTGCTCTGTGGATGTCTAGTGCTTTTGTCTGATCTCCTTCACTCTTTCTTGGCACACATCAGGCCTGGATTTCCACCATCATCTTAGTCACTGTTTAAAGCAGTGATTGGTGGGGGAAAGTAGGCTTGATTGCTCAGATCTCACAGTCATTTGCTGGAAAACTGTTTTAAAATTTATTTAAGACTATTTGACTCTACTCTGTGAATGACTTTTACTGTCACATTTCATGAATGTCTTATTCTTCCATATGTTAGGTAAAATAACCTGGGGATTACAGAATAGAAATTGAAATCAAAGTGGGCAAAGTTTCTGGGTGGCTTTAGAAGCCTGCAAGGGTTATTTTTACATTATATATTGCACAATGGTACCAGCTCATTTTACTAGCATTTCCTCCTGAATAAAGCACTTGTACTGATGGAATACTACCACCAAATTAGTAAACCTTCCCTGCGCATAAATGGATCTGTATTGCATTCAGCATTTCAGGGAGTTCAGCAGATGCTGCTCACTGGAGAAGATTCTCTGTTCCTCCTAGGAATGACCTGGGAACCAGGGAGGCAGGAAACGCCATTTCTCTTCAAGAGCTCTTATCCTCAGCAGTTAGCAGCAAATGATTCAAAAGGAAATACTCTGCCCAGATCACAAGTGGCATTGCTTTGGAGTGATCTGCCAGTGGAGACTGGGGAAAACTAACTGTGCATGACTGTTCATATTGCGATTTTTTGATTGTCACAGTCTAAAATATGAAGTTCATTAGACATGGTCCTATGGTCTTGTCTCTGCTCCTTGCACAAGTACATATTTGTTCCTAGCCGTTTTATCATACTGACCTTTGAGAAAATGTAGAAAAAGATGTTAAGAATCAATGAAGCTGGGCAAGAAGATGGATTTCTATTACATGAAAATTTGAACATAAATGGGTTAGTGAGGATAGCAAAAAAATTTTGTTCATTGGTGCTAGAGAATCACTTCTTAATTTAGTTTTTGTGCAGCTTTTATTTAATAACATCTGTTGCCTTACAACAAGATACTTTGGTCTCATTAAAGTATTTGTCCATTCTGATACAAGCTCCATTTTGTAATCCTTGGTTTTAATGTGTCTAAATTTTAAAGAATAAGGTATCACTGAGATCCTGGGGGAAAAAATAGTTCAGAAACTGCTTAATATATATTTATAACAATTCTAAGACTTGTGGAATTAGCATTTCCTAATGCAAAGTTATTTCACAATTTCATTTAAACAAACCCAAACTCTTCTGAAATCTCTCCTTTTCTGACATTTCTGTCACTAGCACTTGAACAGAGAAATGTAGAAATTCGCCATGGATAAGCTTGCGTGCTATTTTGTACCGTGGGTAAGAACAGCCATCTCTACGTGGTATGAGAATGGCAGAATAAAAGCCTGACAAAAGTGTTTGTGTCTCCCAGATTCCTTTCTTGTGATTTGCTCACATATTTCAATGGATTTCTTTTATGTGGCTTTGAGTGTTTTACATTTGAAAGATGCGGGGATCACTTCTACTTCTGTGGAGAAATCGATGCACATACACGAGAGAGATATCAAAATAACTGAATATGGGATCCTGTTTGTTACCATCATAACAGGCATAAATGCATATGACAGTAACGTTCTTCAAAATCAACTGTTGCATTTCTTTGATTTTTATGAAGCCTTAAAAATGAAGCTATCCTTAGGCATTTAATGAATACAACAGACATAAAAGTTACCTAACTATGGAGGAAAGCTTTTAAAATAGTTCTTGAAAGTTGGCATTTTATTTCAGACTAATGGCTGATAGTTTTAACTTTTAAAATAAAAGACAAGATAGAGAAAGTTATCAGGCATAAATAACTTTGTTTCTTTTTCTGGATGAGCCAAACTGTTTAGATGAACTGTTTAGATGTTTTGTGGCAAATCTGTATTTATTTGGAGCTGGATTTGACGTGGTGTCATGAAGTATTTGATATGAATTCACCAGAAATTGTTTTAAAAACATACCACCTCTTTTCTGTTTACTGAGAAGTACCTTCCTCTAAACTTGCCTTAAGGGAAAGAATATTCTTAGTTATCATCATCAATATTTCAGTTGTGTGTTTTGGATTTTTTAATCTGGCGGAATCTTATTTGCACATACTAATACATCTATTTTATCAGTTCAGGAAAATAAATATATACATATTAAGAAAATAATTGTGGCTTTAAAATATGCCTGATTATCAGGGCAGGTCTAATAAAAGCCTAACTAATTTGAAGTATTCAAGCCTGAATTGTTATGTTGTCATTTTACAAGTAATGTAGACTATTCCCCTGTCAACATTAAACTCAGCCCAGAATAAAAGTCAAGCTAGAGTTTTTTCATCATCTTCAGTGAAAGCTTTTCAGACCTAATCAGCTCTTCATAGACTGCCCCTTGTCTTCAGCAAATCGCAGCTTTGCTCTTCTTTGTCAAATTAATATGGATGATGTGAGAATCCAAATTGAAATGCCCAGTACCTGCATGTGATTGCTCTTCAGATAAGGCAAATTTGAATTTGCCAACAGCAGAAGAGAAGGCTTGGGGTAGGAAGAAGGTGTTGAATTTTGTCATTGGAGTTTGGCTCTCCATTTCACCCCATAGGCACCATCCTCAGCCCATTTTTAATTTGGGCTGCTGGACTGGGGCTGTTGTGGTGTTGCCTTGTTGTTCCTCCTAGTCCTGCAAGAGCAAAGGTGACAGCTGCATTGATGGGCATATAAGTGGTAGAAAAAAAATTTCATGCCACTGAAGTCAACCTTAATAAATCATTACCTGTAGCAAAGGATACAGATATTTCACCTACTGTGTTACTTTTTGACTGTGGAAGTGCTCATTCAGTGATGAGGAAAGATCATAGTTTCATCTGTGGCTTTTGGCTTCTAAAGGACAAGTCATAAATATAAATGCAAGCGTGAAACAGTCAGTGAGGGTGACACAGGTGAAAAAGTAACATAGGTGAAAGATGAGAGGTT